TAGAAATTCATGCTATAATCCTCTAATATTCAACTATCTAAAATTTTAACTAAAATTAATTTTTATATCAATTTTTATATTTTTTATTAGAAAATTCTATACAAGAATTCAATTATTTAAAAACAAAAATAAATAATTTATTAAATAAATAAATGTTTCTCAAAATTGAATTATCATAAACAATTTTATCAACATAATTGAATTTTTTCGACGAATTTTAATAAAATATTTAAGAATAATTACTTATTTCGAGGAATTCGATTAAAATATTGCATTATAAAAATAATTGAAACTTTATGATGAGTTTAATTATTCATGAAAATAATTGAATTATCGCGAAGAAATTTATAAAGAATTTGTAAATAATTGAAATACTGGGTAATTTTTATTATTTACGAAAGTAATTAATTGTTTGAGAAGAATTTTATCAAAATTTGTTTGAAATAATTAAATTCTTTTGGAGAATTTCATTAAAATAGTAGATTTTGAAAATTATTGAATTGAATTTCAAATTTTTGAAAATAACAAAAATTTTGCCAAGAATTTTATTAAAATTTTTGAAAATAATTTAATTTTGGAGGAGAATTTTATTATTTTTAAAGATAATTGAAATTATGACAAGAATTTTATTATTTTTTAAAATAATTAAATTTCTGCAATCATTTGTAACTTGTCCAAAATTCAATTTTTTCCACTACATTAATAATGTATTTTTTCATTATTTATTTATTTATTATTTTTATTATTTTCATAAATTTACATAGAATTCTAAAAACCAAGTCAATTATTTTCAAAAGTAATAAATTTCTTCGCAGAAATTCAATTAGATTTAAACAATTTTTTAAATTTTCCTCAAAATTTCAATTATCTTTATGAATAATTAAATTGTCCTCCACAATTCAATTATTTTCATAAATAATAACATTCTTTGGAAGGATTCAATTACTTTTATAAATAGTAAAATTCTTTGCAGAAATTCAATTAATATCAATGCATTTTAATAAAATTGAATTAATCAAATTTTCAATTATAATTATGAACAGACAAGATTATTTAAAAAAAATTGAAAAAATTCTTTGTTTAATTCAATTATTTTCCAAATTTTTAATTAAAATTATTAAAAAAAACCATTATTTTCAAAAATTGATTTATTTATTTTTATTGTTAATATTATTATTTTAATTCATGTAATTAAAAATATATTAATTAGAATTTTTTTGTTTCAGGTAAGAGATAATCAATTTTATCAGAGAAGAAAGTTACAATGATTGAAAAAGGTATTTTATAATATTTGTAACAAATATTAAACAACAGCAACAACAATATTAATAATTTTTGTGTCAATGTTGACATTAAAATAATTATCCAAGACAATCATTATATTGTTATGTAATAGTAGTGAAATAATAATAGTAAAATAAAAATAAAAATAATATTTTTATTATATAAACAATAAAATTATAGTTTACAAGTTCACCACACGATTGAACAGTTAAATCAAATTTTTAATGCACTTTGCCATTTTTATATGGGAGAAAACAAGTTTAAATTACATTTTTTTCATTCTATAATAACCTGGATTGACGATATTGAACTTGGAAATATTTCAAGAGGGATAAATTCTTCTGTTGTTATATTGGAGTTGCGCTTCGTCATTGGCTTCATTGGATCGTTCACTTGACAAAGTTGATTCCATTTATTTTTCCTATACATCTAATCTATTAAATCTGTTTGCTTTCGAATCAATTTTCAAAAGAATTTTAAGTGCAAAATAATAGTAGAATTTTTCATAATTTCCGATGTAAATAAAGATTGGATTTTTATCCCGATAAGTCAGATTATACATTTTTTTATTCCATTAAAACTTTTTTCAAATTTTACTTAAATTTTAGAATATAAAAAAATATTAAAACTTCTCCCTGAAAAAAAAGTAAAACTCTTCGCTTGTGAGAGAGTTTTGTCGCCATCTGGACGGACGGTTAAAGAAATTAGTGGCGCGAAATTCAAATTGAATTTAAACAAAAAAAGCCGTCAATTGTGACAGTTGGGAAAATTGTTTAGTTGTTACATAATTTTTTCATGAAATTAAGTGAAATAATCGCCGTTCGCGTTACACAGTCGATTCGAAGTTTATTAATAGGAATTTAAACGTTCTGTGAGTGTCTGTTTATAAAGCAATTCAATGCATCTTGACACGGGCGAGAGAGGCAGTCTTTAAAGCCTCTCAGTTGTAAATTATCATGTTAGCACAAGCAAAGCGCTGCTTGTTAACGTGCCGATTAGTTACCAAGAGATGTTGCAAGATGTTGCAACACATACCAAACTAACTTAAATAGAATCAGACTTCCACATGCATATATACATTAATCACCTATACTATATATCTTTCCTCTTCTAAATTCACCACACTCTCAATATTATTTTTTAACAAAAACTAAAATAGCTGCCGACCATCGTTAGGAAGTAGGCGGACAAAAGATAAAACGCGATAATATTATTTAACAAAAGGAGAAATCTTTTCTCTTTAGTCTTTATGAAAACTAAAATGAGGGGAAAAAATTACCATTTGTCTTTCGTGTATTGTACATTAAATTAGAGACAATGGCACTTTCATTCGTATATTAAGAAATGCTGTCTGCTAATTGGAATAATAATAATAATTTTTACTATTATTGAGTGTAACTAATAATAATAATTATTATTATTATTATATTCAGGGTTGCCACACAACCTGGAAACCTGGAAAAGCTGGAAATGTCAGGGAATTTTATAAACCATGAAAAAACCTGGAAAAGTCAGGGAATTTTGATCGAAATCCTGGAAAATTGTTATTTTCTAAAGTTTATTCTTGAAATCTAATTTTACATAAATATTCCAAAATTAATTGGATTTTAAAAAAGTTACGATTACAATTTTCATAAGTATAGATGAATTTCAAAAGATTTTAATTTAAAATTTTGTAAAATTTTCATTTTCAATCGTCTTGAAGAACGTAGATTTTTGAAAAATTTCAATTATTCCAATTCTTCTGAAATTAGTTCAACTTTTTAAAATATATTTTTAATTGATTATTAAAAATAATGGATTTATAGAAGAATTTTAATTAAAAACAATAAAAGAAGTTGAATTTTGAAGCAATTAGAAATGATTGCAGAAATTCAATTATTTTCAAAAATAGTAAAATTCTTCTTAGAAATACAATTATTTACAACAATTTTAATAAAATTCATGGCAAAATTTCAATTATTTTCAAACACTTTCCTCAATTTAATGATTTTTAATAAATCTACTATTTTAAGAAAATTTTCCAAACGAATTCAATTATTTAAAAAAAATTTCAAATTCTACGTAAATATTTCATTATTTTCATAAATAATAAAACTCATCTCAGACTTTCAATTATTTTTAATACAATTTTAATGAAATTCCTCGAAAAATGAAATTCTTAAAAATTTTATTAAAATTCATCAAAGAAATTCAATTATTTAAAAAGACATTTTCATAATGTTCGTCTCAAGAATTCAATTACTTTTAAAAGTACTAAAATTCTTCTCAGAAATTCAATTATGGTCAAAAATTTAAAAAAAATTCTCTTCAAAATTTTAATTATCTTTATAAATAATAATAAAATTTTTCTCAAAAATTCAATTATTTTCAAAAACTTTTCTCAAGACAATCAATTTTTTTTTACCGAGATTCAATTATTTTTAATACAATTTTAATGAAATTCCTCGAAAAATGAAATTATTCTTAAAATTTTTATTAAAATTCATCACAAAGAAATTCAATTATTTAAAAAGACATTTTCATAAAGTTCGTCTCAAGAATTCAATTATTTTCAAAAGTAATATAATTTTTCGCAGAAATTTAATTGTGTTCAACAATTTACAAAAATTCTCGGCAAAATTTCAATAATCTTCATAAATTTTTCTCCGAAATTAAAATATTTTCCGAAAAATTTTAATAAAATTCTTGGCAGAATTTCAATTATTTTCAAAAACTCTTATAAAAAAAAAAGTTGTAAAAACTCTTTTCTCTTTGGAGAAATTCATTTATTTTTAATTGAAATTTAATCAAATTTCCGAAAAATAAACTTATTCTTGAAAATTTTATTAAAATTTGTCAAAATTCAATTATTTAAAAATTTGTTTGATAAAATTCTTGATGAAAATTCAATTTTAAGAAACATTCAATTATTTAATAAAATATTTATTTTTCTATTTAAAATTAAATAATTGAATTCTCGCAGAATTTTTTAATAATAACTAATTTAAAAATAAATTTCAGTTAAAATTTTAGATTATTATTGAATATTGAAAGCAATATAGCGTAAATTTTTAGAAATAATTGAATTTTGAAAAGGTTTCAAATTAAAATCTTTGAAAATTTGAACTTTTCGTACTTTTTGATTAACAATTCTGTAGAATTAATTTTATAAAAAAGTTTAATTGATTTTTTCTTTAATTCTTCATGTTTTTATTTTCTAATAAATATTTAATTGAAAAATGTCAGAATAATCGAAATTACGTAAAAATTAATATTGAAAATAATTGAATGTTTACAAAGAATTTTATCATTTTTGAAAATAATTGAATTCTTGATGAGAATTTTATCAATTTTGAAAATAATTGAATTCATGCGAAGCATTTTGTCAATTTTAAAAAGAATTGAATTATTTCGAAGAATTTTATTCATATTTCTGCAGGGATCACAGAGTGTTACCTATTCACCTTTTTGTACCTATTTTGAAAATTGGTACCTTTTGTACCTATTTTGATGATTTGTTACCTTTTTTACCTATTTTCAGTTATCACAGTAAATTTAAAAAATTATTTTTTATTTCATAATTATTTTTCTGCGTTTGAATATCGCGCTTTTTCTCCGTGTGTGATATGAATACCAATCTGAGCCAGCAGAGTGCGCGATTGAGACTTACAGCTTGCTACAACCCATCTCTGCCTACTCATAACAAGCTTCATAGTATTTTGATTTTATTCGTGGCCATTTCGTGTTGTTGTCATCAGTAAATTGTTCATAAAATTTATTCGTTTGTTTGCGAGGTTTGTTTCGAATCCTGTGGAACACTGTGAAAAATGCCAGAGTAATTTTACACCGTCCGTCGGTGGTTAAAAGTGATCACACGTTCCACGTATTAATAAATTTAACCAGCGTGTTATTTTCACACGGAGTGTGAATTAACCTAGAAATTACTAAATTCAAATTTTAGGTTACATTAATGCTTTATTTGTCAATTAAGTATTTCTATTTTTCTTCCTTTTAATGAATAAAATAAATTATTCTTTTTTCTTACATAACCCTGAATTTAGCATGTGGTCACTTTTTTCCACCGTTGGACGGTGTAATTTTACATTTTTTGTCAAAAGTGTACTCTGGCATTTTTTACAGTGAATTTCTTTACAACAAATTTATAGAAATTTTATAAAATGTTTTCTTAAAAAATACTGTTTATAATGTTTAGGTATGTGATTTTAGTGGATTTTAGATAAGCTACGAGTTTTTATGAAACTATTTTTCAGTGTCATGGAACATACATTTATTTTACACATTAATCGAGTTACAGGTAAATAGAATTAATTTAATTTTTTTAATTCTGTAATATTTATATTATTAATTATTAATTTTTTAAATTAAGTAAGGCTCATAAAGTTATTTTTTAATACGATAAATTATTTCAAATAATATATTTCGCTAATTTTTAAACTTTATAAAATCTTAAATTAGGTATAAATTTTTGTTTCAGTTATTTGATTATTTAAAAAAATAGTACCGAGACGTAACAATGTCACAAAAAAGGCGAGTTCAATTTCAAGACAGCTGGTTATCATTAACCGATTCGAATGGAACTTTAGTATCAAAGTGGGCTAAAAAAGACTTAAGTGATCCATACTATAGTATTTGCATTATTTGCAAAAACACTCGTTTCAAAATTGATGGCGGAGTCGATAGAATAAAGCAGCACGCCAAAACGGAAAAACATATTAAGAATTTAAGTTCTTTAAATTCGGGACAGTTATTGTTGACAACATCGTTGAAAAATAATGCACTGACGCAATCATCTTCAGAAATAATTTCTAATTTATCTGCTGCAGTATCGTCTGATTTATTGACTCCAGAAACCAATGCGAATATAGTTAAATCTGTTACACTGTTCAATCAAAATGAAACTGCAGTGAGGGCTGAGCTTCTGTGGTGTTTAGAAAACGTTATAACTTGCAGCTCTGTTGCTTCGTGCCTTGGGAAGAAAGAACTTTTTAATGTGATGTTTCCAGGTTGTGTACCCGAAACATTTTCTTTGTCCCCTAGCAAAGCTCAATATTTAATCACTGAAGCTTTGGGGCCATATTTTAAAAACCTTTTGCTTAATGACTTAGAGTTTCCTGACGTATTGTTTTCTTTACTTTTCGATGAAACTAGTAATGTAAAAAGTAAAAAGGAACTGCAAATAAGAGTTCGGTTTTGGTCTCATGATGAGAATATGATTGTATGTCGACATCTTGAAACGTTCTTTATCGGATCTGCAACTGGTGAAATTCTAGTTGAACAATTAAAAAAAGCATTGGATTCTAATAACTTACTATTGAAAAATGTATTGGCCTTAGGTTGTGATGGACCTAATGTCAATAAAAAGGTTATGAATTTATTTCAGGAAACTTTAAAAAAGGCCAAATTGAAGCCTCTAGTCAACATAGGTACATGCGAGTTGCATATCGTTCATACATCTTTTTTGAAGGGTTGTGAATGTTTAGATGTAGACATCTCTGATTTCATTATCAAAGTGTACTATTTTTTTCACCACCGAGATGTTCGTTGTGAAACTTTTGAATCAATTCAAAGAGAAATGAATCTTCCAGTTCATGTTTTCATCAAACATGTTAAAGAAAGATGGCTTACACTCGGTGCATCAGCGGAAAGAATGGAAGAACAGTTTCTTGCTTTAGAATATTATTTTTTAAAGCATATTCCTCAAAAGGATAGCACAACTTTAAAAAAGCAAAATTACCAAGATGTGAAATTATACCTAAAAAATGATCTTTTAAAAGTCTCATTGCAGTTTGCAATTTATTCCTCGAAGATTTTCACCACAGAGTTCACATTAATTATGCAAAAGGAAGAACCGCTTATACATCTTTTATACGCACAATTAAAATCTTTAATTTTGATTTTACTCTCAAGCTTCGTTAAGCAATCTATTTTGGAGTCAATTCGATTTTATACCAACGATATTCTAAAGTTATTAGAAGATCCGAAAAATTTTTTGGATTTAGAGGAAATCAACATTGGGGAAAAGGCAAGAAAAACCCTGCTGAAATTGCCAAAACTAGCACAGCTCTCGTTTTTAAATCAAGCAAGAAAATTTTACATTGCTAGTGTAAAGCATATATTAAGTAGAGTTAAATGCTTCAGAACTCTGAAGTATTTTCAGTGCCTTGGCGAGGAAAACATTAAAAAAAATGAAAGTGTAAAATACATTATAGAAATTGCTAAGTTATTGCCTCTTCAAAATGTGGATATTGATAGATTGGAATGCGAATGGAGATTACTGCGAGTAGATGAGCAGGTCAGATTTACTAAAAATAAAGACGAAAGAATCGATGTTTATTGGAATCACATCTTCAGTCTTAAAAGTCAGGTAAATAATTATAAGTATCCAGAAATTAAACGAGTCGTACAGAATGCTCTAGCTTTAACTCACGGCAATGCCGATGTTGAAAGAGGCTTCTCGTTATCTTCAAGAGTTTTAACAGAAGACAAAAGTAATATGTCCGAAAGAACTTTAAATGCAAAATTATATATCATCGATGCATTGAAAAAGTATGATAAAATGGTATACAAAGTTCCTATAACATCTAATTTAATTAAACTCGCTCAAGGTGCTTATAAATCTTACCAACTGTATTTAGAAAAGCAGAAGCTCCTTTCTCAACAAGAAGCTGAGAAAAAACGTTTGGAAGAAGAAGCATCAACAAAAGAGAAAGAACATTTAAAAACTCTGGAAAAAAACAGAAGAACAATTAAAAAATTAGAGATCGATTTAAAATCTGCGGAAAAAGATTATAAAGCTGCTCTTGAGGATTCAGAATCAATGCAAAATGCTTTAACAGCATCAGTGAAAAATAATGCTAAAGAAATCGTCATTAAAGAAATGGTAGTCAGTTTAGAAAAGCTACGCGAGGTAGAAAAAAAGAAAAGAAATGAGGTTGACAAGCTCAATAAAAGTATAAGGCGAAAAAATTCAATTTTAATGGACAGTGCTACAAAATAAAAAAACGTATTAAAAATGTTTCTACTTAAGTTCGAATAAATTTTGATATTATATTTTTTTATAAATATAAAATTTATAATTGTTTATTTCGATATTTAAAAAAAAGTATTATCTGTTAACAAATATAATGTTAATAAACCTTAAATTACATGTTTTTTCATGTTTTACAGTAATCTTATTGTTACCTATTTGTTACCTTTTTTTGACAAAAATTGTACCTTTTCACCTTTTTTAATGATAATAGGTACTGTGATCCCTGATTGTGAAATGTAATTGAAATTTTGTAAAAAATTTAAGAAAATAATTCCATTCTTCGAAGAATTTATTTAAAATAATTGTATTAAAAATAATTTAAATCCTGTGACGAATTTTATTGTTTATGAAAATAATTGAATTCTTGCAACGAAATTTATTAAATTTTTTTTAAATAATTGAAATTTTGTAAAGAGTTTTATTATTTATAAAAATAATTGAATTCTTTCAACGAATTTTATTACATTTTTTGAAATAATTGAATTCATGTGAAAAATTTTATTGCTTGTAAAAATAATTGAATTTCTGCATCGAATTTTATTAAAATTTTTGTAAATAATTGAATTTTTATTGAAAAATTTTATAAAAATTTAAATTATTATAAAACATGAAGATATCAATCACTCCGAGTCTTCGACTCGGAGCGATCGATATCTTCATGTTTGATAATAATATTCTTCTAAGTTATTGAATTTCAAAAGATTTGAATTTGAAATTATTGAAAATCTTAATTTCTATAAAAAAATAATAATGATAAAATATTTATTAAAAAAAAGAATTTATTGATGTTTGTTTTGAATTGCAGGATTAATAAATATATATAATTCACTTTTCACTTTTAATATAATTGAAGTGGAGTAATATGAATAATAACCACTTAATTGATTAGCGAATATATATTTTAAACTTCTGTACAAAATGTTGCGTCTTGCTATTTCGGTCGTTTGGTCGTATCTGGCGATAAGCAAATTTTCAGGAAAACTCCTTCCCACTACAATTAAATTAGGAAGGGATACCCCTATGTCCCTTTCCTCAATCGACGAAAAACGAGGAGACATATTACCGCGTAAATTTAAGTATTAAATTCTCAACAGTTTTCGAATAATTTTCTAATTAAAAAAATTCGTAAATAAATTTAAAGTAAGTAAAGTAAAAAAAAATTTTTTTGAGTCAAATAATTGAATTTGAAAAAAAATTTACGAGATTTAAATTTAAATTTCTTAAAAAGTTGAAGTTTCGCAAAATTTATTTCTAATTCGCGTTGATTTTAAAAAAGTAAATTCCAATCGTAAATTAGATTATAATCTATAATTATTTATTTACACTTTATTCGCAACAATATTTATTTATAATTATCAAATAATTCGCGTTTGCCAATTTTTTTTCCAAGTGGTAGGTATAATTATACTATAATTATTCATTTCGCAACTCAGGGGCAATAAACTATTTTATAACCACATTATACTTTTTAACCTTTTCCAATCAAACAAAAAAGAAGAGAAGAAAAAAAAAAGAATAATTTCTCTGCACTTAAGAAAGATGAGAAAAAAGGAAAACTTTCATTTTCACAGGATTCCCGTGGCCTTTAATAAATAATTTACGTTTGTGTGTATATTACGTGTCTGTCCTTGAACGTTAAAGTGCAGTGATCGAAAAATGAGAAAATAAAATGAGACAGGATGAGAATTTTTTTTTCTCAATAGCAAGAGAGAAAACGAGCTTGGCAATATGTTTTCCTTCTTTTTCCCCTTTGAAAATTACAACTTTTGCGAATCGACAGACTCTCACGTGTTTATATAGCTATATTTATATTTAAAGACTGAAACACGCCAGATAAGGATAACGAACGCTATACGGCACTTTGGTTTCTTACTTTCTCTATCATTATTCTTACATAAGTGCAACGCTTGACCTATCCCGCTTTACCGTCTCGGAGAGTCTACACAATATATTTCCAACAAAGATGTAATGCTGCACTAAAAATGTCACGGCAAATTTTTTCCTTTAATTACCGCTTTTTTAATTCAAAGAAATATTATTATCATTCTTTTATATTTAGTATTATTATTTTTCATTAATTATTATTAACATTAATTATTATTAAATAATAAATATTTTTCTTTACGATTTTCATTAAACATTCATTAATTTTTTAATTATGAACATTTCTATTATTTCTATTATTACAATTATTTTTACTTTTTCTATTATTATAATTATAATAATAATTAACGACTTTTTTAAATTTTGCTCAGTAATATTTTCAATTATTATAATTATATAATTACAATAATAATAATTATCAACTTTTTTATTATTAAAATTTTTCCGATTAATAGTTTCAATTATTATAATTATTATTATTGTTATTAACAATTAAATTATTTACTATATATATGAAACAAATCAAATTATCAAATTTATTTTAATCGGAAAAATAATAATTGTCAGAAACATTACGTTTTTGAATGACCGATTGACAGAATGTTTATTTCTGCGAAAGAATATTTTTTATAATCTTCAAATCAACGAATTATTAATTATTAATTCTAAAAATTATTATTTTTTATATTTGTTATTTACATAAATTTATCGAAAAATTTTATTAAAAAACACTAAAAGAAAAATAATTAAATTTTGGAGAAGTTACAAATGAATGCGAAAATTAAATTATTTTCAAAAGTAATAAAATTCTTCACAAAAATTCAATTATGTTCAAAAATTTTTAAAAGTTTTTGTCAAAATTTTAATTATCTGTATAAATAATAAAATTCTTTTTCGAAATTGAATTATTTTCAAAAGTAATAAAATTCTTTACAAAAATCCAATTATGGTGAACATTTTTTTTTAAATTTTCGTAAAAATTTCAATTATTTTCAATAATTTTCCTCAATCCAAAATGATTTTCAATATTTACAATTTTAATAAAATTTTCCAAAATTCAGTTTTGAACTGAATTATTTTCACAAAAAATAATAAAACTCATCGTAGAAGTTCAATTATATTTTCAAAAGTAATACAATTTTTCGCAAAAATTCAATTTTGTACGAAAATTGAAAAAAATTTTCGCAAAAAATTCAATTATCTTTATAAATAATAAAATTCTTTTCCGAAATTCAAATTCAATTCAAATTATTTTTAAAAGTAATAAAAATTCTTCGAAAAAATTGAATTATGTACAAAATTTTTTTTTTAAATTTTCGTAAAAACTTCAATTATCTTTATAAATAATAAAAGTTTCACAAGAATTCAATTAGTTACAAATTTTTTTAAAATTTCTTCTCAATAATTCAATTATTTTCAAAATTTACAATTTTAATAAAGTTTTCCAAGAGAATTCAATTATTTTGAAAAAAATTTAGTAAAATTCTACGCAAACATTCAATTCTTTTAATAAATAATAAAAATCTGTGTAGGAATTCAATTATTTTCTCAAAAGATAATAAAACTCATCGCAGAAATTCAATTATTTTCAAAAGTAATAAAATTCTTCGCAAAAATTCAATTTTGTACGAAAATTTTAAAAAAATTCTCGTAAAAATTTCAATTATCTTTATAAATAAAAAAAATTCTTCTCCGAAATTCAAATTCAGTTTAAATTATTTTCAAAAGTAATAAAATTGTTCTCAAAAATTCAATTATGTTCAAAAAATTGTTAAAAATTTTCCTAAAAATTTCAATTATCTTTATAAATAATAAAAATTTCACAGGAATTCAATTATTTACAAATTTTTTATAATTTTCTTTTTCAATAATTCAATTATTTTCAATATTTACAATTTTAATAAAATTTTCGAAAAGAAATAAATTATTTTTAAAAAAATTTTAAGAAAATTCCACGCAGAGATTCAATTATTTTAATAAATAATTTTATTCTTTTTATGAACTCAATCATTTTCACGAAAAAGCAATATAAAATTCATCGCAGAAATTCAATTATTTCCAAAAGTAATAAAATTCTTCGCAAAAATTAAATTTTGTACGAAAATTTAAAAAAATTCTCGTAAAAATTTCAATTATCTTTATAAATAATGAAATTCTTTTCCGAACTTCAAATTCAATTCAAATTATTTTTAAAAGAAATAAAATTCTTAGCAAAAATTCAATTATGTTCAAAATTTTTTTTTTTTTTTTGTAAAAATTTCAACTATTATTTAATCAAAGTTTCACAGGAATTTAATTATTTATAATTTTTTTATAATTTTCTTCTCAATAATTCAATTATTTTTATAAATAATAAAATTTTTAGCTGAAGTACCTATTTAATTTTATTTTTACTTAAGAAGTAATCCCGAAAATTTTAAATTAAATTTTAGTTTTCAAAAATGATCTTTTTTATAATTTTTAACTCTACTCGAATTTTTATTTTTATAGAAAGCAAAGAAAATGTTAAAATTCTGTCTTGAAATCAAGGAAAGAGAATATCAAGTTTTTATATATTTAAAAATATTGCAATTTTGAAATTTAAAGATAATTAAATTTTTGTTAAACAAGAAATTGAAAATGTTTGAAGTAATCGAAATTTTCTAAAACTATTATTAAAATAATTGAAATTTTTAACAAGAATTTCATTAAATTATTTTGAAATAATTGAAATTTACTAAAATTAAATTTTAAAAAATTGAATTTAATAATAATTTAATAATAATTAAATAAGGAATAAGGAAGGGAGTAATAATTGGCCTGAAAAAATACGTAATTAGGCGGAGAAGTTGATTTTATTTCTATTTGTTTATAATAATTGTTGCTATTTTAAACAAAATATAAACAAAATCTAACAAATATTTTTTGTTCGAAAGCATGATTGTTGTATATAAAGTAATTGTTACTACTTTTATAGTAAAAAATTTCCGTTAAAACATTTCTGGTAATTTTTACTATACGTTCGAAATAAATTTTACTAATTTTGACAAATATTTAATTTGAACGTAGCAAAATTTACTCCAAAAGTAGTAAAAATTATCAGA